CTCTTCTCCCTTCACTTCAGTTCTGGTTCGGGCCTGTTTGACGAGGTTTTGTTCTGCAGCACCAGGTCCTCTGCTCATTTGTTCAGTGATAAAACGGGTCCCTTTCCACCAGCTGAGCTTTGCTCAGTTTTGTGAACTTCGAGGACTTTGATTTTGATGTTCTAAGAACTACCCTCAGCCTATCCAATTTCTGAGGGACACGAGGAGCCGTGAATCTTGAGGCTGACTTGCCAGGAGCAAAAAGCTACCTTTTGTAAATAAGCCAATATTTTCTTTCTTTCAAGGGGAAGCTGACAAAGATCAATACTAGCCTGCAAAAGACATTGCCCTCTTAAGAATTAGCCCTTTGCAGAATCATTAATCCAGGAAGCTGTTACAGGGTGACAAGAGCACGGAGGCTCTGCCAGGTCTTGGAGGGATCGCAGGAACATCGTCTTACGCACAGAAAAACAAACCACATGAAATCACCAGGAAAATAGCTGCCGTCCTGCAGGCTCATTCTGCCAGAGGAGCTGATCTGACTTTAATTAAGAAAGGCTGGTTGACTCTTGATAAGGGTCATTAAAGAAACCTTGTATTTTGCTTCCCTTTTACTTCAGCTAGGTCTGCGTAAAGCTTGAGCAGCTAAAGAAAGCCACGTTTCAGCTGAGACCAGGTTCTGTACCCTTGGCTGGACAAAAGACAGAGCTTGCTCCCCAAGCAGACTGGCTTCAGCTGCCATCGCCCATCTTACTGATAAGGATGGAGTGATTAAAAAAAAAATCAGTAAGATCATACTGCTGGATAAAACAAAGATGTTATTTTCATGTTTGGCTGCTCTTCCAAATGTTCCAGCCCTTCTTTCTGTTCTAGCCAGCCCACCAGAGTCTAGAACAGGCTGAAACACTGAGGATGAGCAGAGACCTGCTGCAGAGTCCACAGTACTGAGCCAGAGTAGAAGAGACCCTGACAGTGCCATTTATTAGCCTAACTAGTCTCCCAGAGGAAAAGATAGATGCCCATCCTCTGAAATATTTAACAGCTTAATTCTGCACGAAGCACTTATGTATACGCTGTGATGGTCAGGCACTCAGAAACAAATGACGAGCGCGGTATGAGAACCTGCACAGAAAAGATTAAAGGGAAACGGCTGAAGGAGGAAAAATATTCACAAGTGGGCATTTCCTCTGCCCAAGTCCTGTTAACTTAGCTTCTGATAGTGGATAGGCTGCGAGAGTCCGGGGTTAAAAGATGTTCGCCTCTGCAGGAAAGAAACTACAGAGCCTGAGCACCCCATGCCCTTTCTGGGGGAAAGACGTCGGGACTCAGGAAAATGAAGAAATCGCACCACTGCTGTAAAGAAGATATAACTTCTTTAAAATAAGCATGGACGCAGTACTTGAAGGACTTGCCATCAGCAGAAGGCTGCGGACCCCATAGCTCCCGGGGCCCGTGCTGCATGGTCAGCTCAGCAGTTCTGTTTTGAGCGGCGTCGAGGGTGCGCAGCCTCGAGCGCTGCCGTCACCATGCCCGTGAACTCTGACCAGTGCTTCCAGCCGTTGAGCCGTGGGCAAGACCCAGAACCGTGTCCGGTCCCCGCTGTAGTGGTGGGAACTACTGTT